TGGAGACTGGGAAATCTTTGTCGTATTAGCATAAAAACGTTGGTATTAGGTTACTACCAACATAGAATTTACTGTCGTCATAGTGTAGATTTTACTATTCGTTTTTATTTTTAGTATTAAAAATAGATGTTATGAAATTATTGAAAAGTCTCAAGTGGTCAAATGAGAAATATTATCAATGATCATTAATGGACTTTTGCAAGAACTTGTAAATTACCAGAACACAGTCTGCTCATAACTGATAGGGTTGTGTCAAATTTTAAAAAGTTTTGTTCTGTGTTGTTCTGTTAGAGAGGAATATTTGTATTTGGATACCGACTATCATTTTATTAAAAGTTTAATCTGGTAGTTATTAGTTATCGGACTATTTAAATATATATTTCCCATAAAAAAATATTTATTTTCACAACCTACCCTTTTTCTCTAGTCAATTTTTAGCTCGTTCGCCGGAGCCGCAGCTCGCTTATGATCCTGTCAACAATTAGCTTTAAAAAATCTAATCTTAAATAGTCACATGACTGAATACATTATTTTGTAAACTTTGGTGTTTTGTAAAGATTCCGTAGTTATTACAGTGACACTCAACAGTTAATTAGATAAAACTGCAATTCATTAAGTTCGGAATACATCTGACTAATGTAGACTCTGGGAAATCTTTGTCATATTGGCATAAACACGTTGGTATTACGTTACTACCATCATAGAATTTACTGTTGTGCGTATCTAACGAGTTAAGATCGAAACACATCATAGTATAGATTTTACTATTTGTTTTGTTCTAATTATTATTATTATTATTAGTATTAAAAAGAGATGATAGGAAATTATTGAAAAGCTTCAAATGGTCAAATGAGAGATATTATCAATGATCATTAATGGACCTTTGGAAGAACTTGTAAATTCCAAGAGCACAGTGTGCTCATAACTGATAGGTTTCTTTCAAATTTTAAAAAGTTTTGTCGTGTGACGTCAAGTCTTCATCAAAAATATATTGTTTTTTCTTGGAGAGAAATATTTGTATTTGGATACCGACCATTATTTTAATTGTAATACATTATCAGTAGCCTGAATGATTCTTTCGTTTATGAGTGACGAAAAAATAAAAGGACCTGTGTTTCACAATTTGAGTGTTTTTTAACCGAAGTTTCAATAAGTACAGTTCTAGCAGTGTGTTACGTAGCTTCAGTAATTGAAAATATCGGGGCCTACGGCCCCTGGTCTTCCATAACTTGTATAATTCTTTAAAAGCAAAAACTGTACAACGGTCTAACGTAGCCTTATTGGATGAAGTAGCAGCATGAACGGGTGTATTAAACTTCACAAACACTCAAAAACAGAGATGCACCACATAAAAGCGATTTTACGATGTACCAGTTGTTAATAATACAGATCACAATTTCAGCCAATTTGCTTAGCTTTGCAATATTATAGGATATTTTTATTTTAATAACTTTTTCATGTGATAGTCATGTAATTGTCATAATATGACGCGCTTTTTATTATCACAAGCGAAGTGTATACATTATTTTTTTTTAAATTAAATCCTCTTTTGATAGTTTTTCTTTCTGATAAAACCCGCATACTCGGACGAATTTTTAATGAAAACCGTGGACTGCGAGCTTTAATATCTTTATCCGGTTCTCTCTGCCTTTTTTAATTTGGGAGTAATACAGTATTTGGTATTTATCGAACAAAAAACACAAAAAAAAATTGCCGAACGAAGGTAAGATGGTTTTTCGACATTAATCAATTTTTGATATTTTTTGTTTTGGAAAGCATTCACTTAGTTCAAGTACGCTTTTTGTTCCGATTTGTAAAACATTGCCCTAATTGGAGAGCGTGTAAGGCTGTAAAATCCATGTTGTAGGTTGAATCGCAGTAGTGACTCATATAGACAAATCAATGTGTTCTGCTTAATATTATTATTTTTCCGTTGCTTAATAATTACACTTGACTTTAAAAATGGGATAGGTTAGTTTTGGTTAGTTAATTAGGTTAAAAAATATAAGACTAAAACGTAATTTGATTAGATTTGTAGGTTGATCGACTGTAAACTCTTATTTAGCGTAAAGTTTATGAGGTAATTTTTTTTTGGTATAAATTATAATTCTGTTTTTTTTTAGGTCAATATTTTTGTTCAATTTTCCTTATTGCTATTTCCTCTTAGATACAAAAACGTAGTTGATTACCGTTTGTCACGATCTCCTTAAAGGTCTACGCCGTTGGCTATATATGATACATCTAGGAATAAGTTTATTCTACGTTCCGTAGTAGAAATCGATTCGATTGCGGACACAGCTTAAGCTTCCTTAATTGTGTGCCCATTTAAGTGCGTAAATGATACGCCAGACTAATACGTCTTCCGTATATTATGGGGTATGTTTACGATGAGCAAGAATGATTTGGCCTGCAATATGCAATGATTAAAAGAATAAATATCTAATGATTTTCTAAATCCTTCTCTTTATTATTTGTGGTTTGGGTAGATATACAATGCTTTGTTCAGATATCATTTCTAACTAGAAACACTTATGTTGACAATTTGTTTGTGGACTAGGATAAAATTATGGTCCGGGGATAATTCAAAATCAATTTAATAATAGTCTATTATGCAACAAGTGCGGTAAAAGGCATTTGACTCACGAGTTTTTAATAAACGAGTGAGTTAATAGTATATTATGCAACAGGTGCGGTAAACGGCATTTGACTCATGAGTGAGTTAAAAATTTACCGAACGTGTTGCATTATATACTTTTTCTACGACCGTTAGTTTTTGGGTACATTTTCGCAAAACAACACGAAGACATTCACTGACATGACTGTCAGAATTTACAAACGTCAAAATTCAATGCGTGGGAAATATCTCCGAAAACATCCGATTGCTCCCAAATCGCTTTGAATTTTGACGTTTGTCAATTCTGACGATCATGGCAGTGAACCTTTTTGTGTCGTTTTGAGAAAACGTACCCAAAAACTAACGGTTGTAGAAAAAGTATAGTAGTAGTAAACTTTTTAATGTTTATTAAAAACACGCTCCGCTCGTGTCAAATAAACTCATGAGTCAAATGGCATTTACCGCACTTGTTGCATAATATACTATTGTCGAACGTGATGCATACTATACTTTTCTACGACCGTTAGTTTTTGGGTACATTTTCGCAAAACAACACGAATTCATGACCGTCAGAATTGAAAGCGTGGGAAATATCTCCGTAAACATCCGATTGCTCCCAAATCCGTGCGGTAAAATTCCGGAAATGTCGGAGGTGGCTCGGATCCTTGGGAAACGAAACTGACATGGTAAAGTGACGCTTCCCGTAAGCTAGATAGGTGGGTAATTAGGTATTTTACAGAAGGAAGTAGAAAAAAGAATTACTCTATTTTTACCAATATTTAAGACTCGTTCTTAATGTTGGGGCTGGTCAATCGACCACTTCTTAATTGACTAGGCAAATTCATACCTACCTTACCTATCATAATTTAATATTTCCAATTTACCTATAACCAACCCTCTTCAAGCAATACCCGAATACGATACTTAGCGATTAGGGAAATCCCAATAAAAATATCCACTCTATTTAGTTCTGAGAACGATGCGAATTGTATTTTCAAATTTATTTTTTTCGATTGACTGATCAATTGATACAAAAAAATTTGATCGGTTAATCCCACAACGACTTCTGAACGTTTCTCGGTAATCATATCTGTCTAATAAAAGAAAACTGACGTCTATGTGCATCGTTAATGAGGTAAGTACGAATCCAATCGTCTTTGCTACTAAAGTTACTAAAGAATTTATTAAATGGGGAGGTTTCAACTTTAGCATCTTTACGATAAGTTTGAAGTGACGTCAGGGTTTTTCTGTGAATCTAGAATTTTGGAAATCAGTAAAATTTTGCAAATTTGTGTGGAAAAGCACAATTTGTTATTTTTTTATAGTTCACTATTTTTCCGATGGAAAGGATTAAAAGGACTATTTTTTCAATGTTATATGAAAGAGTTTTTCGCCATGTTCTTGTTATTTAAACCGAAAATGTCATTACTGATGCGCGGCAAGCGGCATTGATATTTTCGTAGAGACGGTAATAATTTTCCGCGCATTTTACCCACTAACCTACACTTTGGGCTATTTTCTTTCTAAAGAGTGATCTCCACTCGTTTTCTCAGAACCTTGCACGAGATCTACACATATTTTGAGAAAATCTGTGAACAGCCACCTTGGTTGTCGAAAGCCGCAAGGTCATTGGTTAAAAACGAAATTTTAAATCTTGCGCAAGCGCATGTTGACTGGACCTTCTCTGCATACTTACTTCATAAGTTCCTGTATTATAGGCATAGGCAGGTTCCAATCATTGTGATACCATACTACGCATGATTCTTTATAATAAACTCTCTTTTTGATTGGTTGTTCTCTCTAACAAAGTGTCATTTCTAAACATCTGCTTCATTATTTACTGTGGCGAGTCTTTTCGATACTTTGGCCAAGGATTGAGCGATCGGATGTTTTCGGTAAACTTGAGCCACGGATGGTATTTTATCGTTTATCAATTATGACTATTACGTCACACTTCAAGTATATTATGTAGTACTTTGATAAACTTCTTCAGTCTAAAGTGCTGTTGAATAATTATGGTCGTTACTTGACACGGGTTTTATAAAACCTGGTATTCATAATTGTATGATAATATGCATTTTCTAGTAATTTGTAAGTAAGAAATTGGGTTACAATAATTTTTCCTTCGTACTAATTGAAGGTCTATCGGCAAAATAAAACCAGTTCCTAAAATTAATCAACTTCAAACCTCACCGTCCGTGTACGGATAAAAGTCAAGCGCTAAGTGGTACAAAGGATCCGCTGAAAAAATCGAATCCATTTCCCGAAAGTCATGCCCCAAGTGCCGTCTAGAACCTTCGGCATAACCCCGCTCTGGCTTAAGAGCAGTACCATCGTGTTGTTGCCGCCGTAACAGTTTTAGTAGCACACTAAAACCCATTGAAATCAGCGTCCGCCGAAGAGTGACAGGTGTTGTACCGTATTATACCACCGCAATACAATTTAGCGTAGTAGTACCGAACAGCGTTCGCGGCGATCAGAGCTCTGTTTTGTTTTCGATAGTACCGTAACCGCTCTGGCATTAGATCGCAGGATTTTCGAAAACTACTGCGTTCAGCTGTGGCGTCGATCATATATATTTCTCAAATATATTCAAAGAATATTCGAGAGTGAGTGACTTAAAGTAATCATGAGGGGTACCCATTGGTGCCTTCTCCTAACGGGTTGGACCGCTATTTTGGTGTGTGACAGTGCTTCCGGAATTTCTTCCAGACTGCCGCGTACTAGTGCCGTGCAACTAGCTGCGCAGGCGGCCGCCCAAAACAAAACCATTCAACAGTTGAGGAGCACTCCCAGTAATAGGACTACGTCGTTGCAAAATGCTACCAAATCCAAGTCTAGGTAAGATTATTTATTGTGTTAACTAGGAAATATAACTTTTCTGCTTTTCCTGACCCCAAGCCACATCGCTGTTATTCAGTTTAAAAGTTCAAGAATTAAAGCCCGGATAGTTATTAATCCCTAACAAATGTATCATTTCCATGTTTGTTATTTAAATATGTAACTGTTTTAAGAGTTCGCTTAGCCATAATTTCATTTGTTTGACAATTATTGCAAGATGTCGTACTCAAAAAGACTGTAAATGTCAATGTTATTTTTTTTAATCACAAAGTCGCAATGTCCATCATTTATTTATAGCTTAAATGTTTAATAACTAGCTTTGCGCGCTTTCGAGCAGAGTAGGACTTAATTTAATTAGAATTATTAAATAAACTTATTTAAAAATAGCTTCCACTAAAAACATAGAGATTTGCGTATTTATTTAAAGTTTTGTTAGTGTAAACGCTGTTTTTACTCAATTTTGACCCTTTTTAAATTAAATTTGATGATGCCCGTGTCTTTAAATATTTCATAAAAAATAATGCATTGCGGTTACGACATTGTACTTTTATAAATAAAAGCTTTTGGCAAATATATCACTTATCTAAATCAGCGCTACGTTCATAAAAATAGGAAAGAAAATAAAGTTGGCGGTTAGATAACATAATAAACGAAAGCACTACTAGAATTTTTGAATTGCGTGTTTGATGAGTTAAGTTGAGTTTAAAACAATTGAAGCATTGCGAAGTCGAGACCATCTGTTGAGACAACTTGCTGTTAAAAAGTATTTTTCTAACAATATCGAAATTATTTCGTCACTTTCACCGGTGACAAGCGGTTTTTTTCTGCGGCGGTTTTGACTTTTGTTTAATTAGTTTCTCCCATCGTGAAAAAGGAAAAAAATATTATTCGTTGTACGAATATTTGATAATAGTTTTATTTGAATCATATTATATAATTGTACAGTATATATAAAATATTATAAATATAAAGGCAGAGAGACCAGCTTTTATTTTCTATATGCCACTATTGAATGACGAGTGATTATTAAATACGAAAAAAATATCGCTTATTGCGAAAAACTTGAACGACAAAGTGCTAGTGAAGAAGGTGAAAAAATCATTAAAAACATAAAAAAATAACAGGGATTCTCCGAGCATGACCAATTTATCAGAGTTTTAAATCTAGTGTCAATCTTGGAAGTAGGTAATAAGCAAGGCGTTTAGTATTTATAGGTTGTCACTAATTACAAAAAAAGTTGAAATTGTGCTTAATAACAGATTAACCAGTTTCACCAATTAATACATCCTGATCTATACTAGTGAAAGCAAAATAAAACACTTATTTTTATTACTTTTTGAGTAATCGTGGTATAACATTTGCTGCGATTTACAAAATCCACAAGCAAATTTGTGTACAAAAACTTTTTTTTCAAAGACGAGATTTTTTAGTAAAAATAGACATTCGCGAGATCTGATCGCCTTAACAGTTTGGTATTTGAAGAGTGCAAAACAATTTTATTGTTCTTTAATGAGCATTGGGAAGATCTCTTGGTCCAAAAAGACATGTAAATGAAATGGAATTAGTGACGGTAATTACTCTATATCAAGAAGATTTTTCCATTACACTGCAAACCAATGTTTTTATGAGCACGCGAAGATCGCAATTTGGTTAGTTAATACTAATAGACACTGTTCATTTTGGAGGTGGGTCTATTATGGTCTGGGTCGGTATTTCTTTGACAGGGCGCACCAACTTTTGCTATATTGCTAATTGCCAACGAAGAATGCCCAGAATGTATACTATAACATGATAATGCCTACTGCCAGGACAGTAGCCGAATTCCTACAAGAGCAAAATATCGAGGTTTAAGAGTGGCCAGCAAACTCCCCGTACCCTAATCCTATTGAAAACATCTGAGAGCAACTTGAAGGCATGCCATCAGAAGGAAAATAATTAGCAATTAATTTTTCAGAAGAAATACACAAAGTTTGGCACTCTCGAAATTCATTTTTTTAGTTTTTTTATGTTAAGATTCTTTTGTTTGTTCAAAAAAACTTACGTTACTAAAATTACTTAATGTTTTATTAGAATGCCGTAGTTCTAAGAAAAATAAAATTTATTTTTTAGAAAAATGGCTTTCAAAAAGAAAAATGGACAACAAAAGCAGTTGAATATCTTATGCACTTAATGAAGGCGATCCAAAATAAATATTTACTTGTTAAGTTTAATTTGAAACGAAAGATTGAAGAAGTTTAATCACTCGGTGTGTACTATACTTTTACTATACTAATATTAAATATATTATACTATACTGGTACAGATTTTTCGCAAAACATTTTAGAACAATAACTAAAAATTTAATAATTAAAATTTCTGAGAAGAACATAGTTTTGTTTTCAAAAATTTAAATAGTCTTGAGGTAATCTTCATGGTATCTGTCAAATATTGTATACTTACAATATTATTTAAATAGGGTAGCCAGATGCAATGTTGTGTACTGCACTGATACGCATCAATCCTTCTAATTTCTATGCTATCGTTTCTCCATTATCATTCATTAAAACATTTTTATTTAAAAAAAACTTACGTTTCGGCGAAAAGTAGTCATCTTTAGGTTCTACCACAGTTAACTAATTAATTAATTAAGTAATTCAGAACAATTCTACTTTAACTCATTGTAGTGGAGATCCTAAAGATGGCTACTTCTAATCGAAACGTACAGTGTTTTTAAATAAAACCCTTTGAATCAATGATAGTCTGTATCTTTACTTTGTAGGAAATTATAGGTTACGTTTATTTTCCCTTGCGGACAGTCCTTAATTAGCAGAGTACTATTTATTTGTGGATTATGTGAATTATCTGATCTTAAAATGAAAAATATTCGAAGCAAAACTAACCCAATTTCATTGTTTTAAAATTAATGACCTACCTATTGAATATATCAAAAAAAAATCATATGGCGTTTATTTAAAACCTATGTTCAACTTTTGCGTGTTTTTCTGGTTTTTCGGAATGTAGCCTGACGGCGCTAGATCCGACGAAGGTGTACCGCTTTTTCTTTAATGGTATTTTTCCTCAACTCTCGATAATAATTTTATCCCATAAGCGTCGCCAATTAGTTCCATCATTACGACAGACGATTCATAAATTATGTTGAACGATTAGTGTAAAAGCGCGTGACGTTCACGACATTTCCGTCACTTCATCTATCACATATCTCATTGTATTTAAATTTCGTTATGGCGATAATTTCTCTTCTTCCTATTTCCTTTTTTGAAAAGTTATTCGCGCTTCATCAACAAATACTTAAATTTTTTTGAGACACAAACAAACACGGGTCTGTTATATCTCACACTCATAAACTCAGAATGTCTCAGTTTATTGAAATTCTTTTTTGACAGAATGTGCCTATATAGCGCTCCAATTTCCAAAACTGTCAAAGCCGGAACGATAAAATTCAACACCTGGCGGTTTTTGAACATGCAGAATTCAAAAATACCTACAGCAGTCGTGTCAGATTTCCCACAGTTAATTAAAAAATTCTTAACATCTTAGAGTTTTGGAGTTTTCTGAACGGTGAATTATAAATATCAGGGTGAAATCCGACAACATTGCATTTCTGAATTATGCATGTTCAAAAGCTTTCAGGTATTGAATTTTATCGTTCCAGCTTTGGCACTTCTGGAAATATTTAGGCGTGCCGGTACTTTTAACTAAAGAAAGCGGTGTTGTCGTAGCTATGTAATTAATAGAAACAAAATTTTGCAATTATGAGAATTTAGTAGATTCGGCATGCGCAATTTATTGTCATAATAAATAAATAATAATAACAATATACTTTATTCAGGCAATTTCGATAAGCAAAATCACAAGAAAAAGCAAGGCTGCAGCCCAGACGTATCTGCTTGCTGATTTCTACACTTATCCTTACACATAACATCACACAATGGTTTTAATTAATATTTACAATTTCCTTAAGTACCCACTTAATTATATAACAGAACAGAAGGAAAAACCTAAAGCTAACTCTGTAAATAAAAAAACCATTAGCTAAAGTCGAGGCCAAAGTACTGTAAGTACCACAAATTTTTAAAGAATTCTAGCAGTGCACAGTGGTTTGATTCTTCCTGCGTTCTGTAACTTCTCGATGTTTTTTTTTATTTTTTTTTTCTCTTTAAATTCTAGAACATAACCACGATTTTAGCTTATTTGGAAAAGAATTCTTTCTGAACGAAATGGGGCAGGTCATTATACAGTTTAGTCAAGTCGTAACTGAAGGATCTTTTAAATATACCAGATCGGTTACGAGGAGTTGTGACCCCTTTAAAGTTTTTAAAGCGGTAAATCTGACAACACTGCTGTTAGCATTTTGAATTCTGCATGTTCACAAATCCCCCAGGTATTAAATTTTATTGTTCCAGCTTTGGCAGTTTTGCAGATATTTAAGAGTTCCGGTACTTTTTACTAACCCCATATGTTGGAACTGAATACTTACTGGAAAATGGTAAATAGCTCGTGTTAAAAATAGCTAAGCTGCAATATAACGTCCACAAAAATGATGGGTGGATAAAAGATTTAAAGTGCGAAGTAAACTGAAACCATATTGTCTGAAATAACTACAAAAAATGTACTTCAATACCCGCTGGTGAGAATGAAACTTAAATCCTCCTTACAACAATTCTCATTCAGTACGAATTCTATCAATGTTTTAATTATTCTAAATATAGATTAGCACACCGAAAAACTAGATTGCCGAGAATAACATGATTTGCATAAAAGCTATTGTTTCGCCGTATTGCAGCGGAGTTATTCCCAATTGCATAAAGGAGCCGTGCCAATAATAAAATATCAATAGGTTACTAATGAGATTGGTTCATTAAGATATTATGTAAAACACTATTGGAAATGTAAATAACAACGATTTGTTTATTTTGTATTTACAAGTTGAGCGTAAAAATGTTCTATAGATTATTTAATTTAATGATGCTATTATGTCAGCTAATAATATTTTGCTGCTA